TTGTCCGTCAACCTTATGTTCTATTTGAAACCACATTACATGAAATTAGCGAATATACACTCATTTGCAGATAAATTTAGTTTTTCGAGAGACTCATCAGGAACCCAGCTGAATCTCTCGTTTGTGATGTTCTCAGGCACAGGACTAAGGTCTCACACCTGCTTCAATCCTGAGCTTGCAGTAGGGAGAACACCAGTCCGATAAGACACTAAACATTCGATCACCTCTCAACAATCCTTAGCTCAATGAACAGGCGGATGGCATTTTAGCGACAGTTCCAAAAGATTCCCGCGGAAACTCCATGTGGAATGGGATGTTATGCTTATGCCTACTAGCTTTCTACGGATTTATAGATCCGCGTCTAATAAATCACGTCAGATAGCAAATCACCCACTGGAGCAAATTCAGCAGGTCGCACCTAGACATAATGCGAGCAACCAAATCGAACATTGTGCAGGGCCAGACACTGCAAGCGATCAAAAGACACATTTCAGCAACAAGGGCTCCACAAGTCAGCAGATCGGATATACATTCTAAAGTTCATCTGGTGCAGTCCCAAAAACAGTCATCAGTTAAACCAGGAAGACTTCGGATTACGCAAAAAGGCACAAATTCCATCAGAGAGGCTAACGACTTTTATTGCTTACCTCCTGGTCTGCTACTGGATACGTTCACACTAACTCCTATAGCCTCCGTTTGTAGAAAGTGAACCAATGATGAATTTGCGGACTCTATCAAACGCGGACTATCAAAGTTCGCCCACAACTAGTCTCAATTCATACGTGAATCGGTTTCAGCTTACTAGAACAAGCTTACAGTACATGGACCCCCCCATACCCGCCTATCGCAAACAGACCAGTGTCACCCAAATTTTTGTTAGTTTATCTTGTTTCGATCCAGAAAGCGGGTTGAGCCGTCACTCTACTCCCTTTTCAATGCATCGTCGGTGACTAAGCAAAGAGATCGCACAAGGCGAGTAATTAGTCTGGCCGCTTGCTAAATGTTAGCCTACATTTCAATAAGTTAAATGATTACACAACCAGGAAGTAGCGCCGTATCCTGCCCAAGTGCGAGTTAATTACACTATAGCTCAAAACCGTTCACTCATAAACAGTCTCGTCCTCAACTATTAGTCTGGAAGCTGCGAGATCATATCTTCCTAGAAGTCACTGTGAGACCCCCATTGCTGATGGTTTCCGACAACAACTGTACCACATCTTTTGGCTTTTCAGCACAGATTCAATTCCGTTACAGGACGTAAGCTCAACTGAAAAGCTCCTATAAACAACGAGAGAATCATTTAGCTAGGTACTTTTTTCACTGGCTGATGTGTGTGGCGCACTTTGAAAATTACATGGTCCAAAAGCAAAACCCAAAATCCAAAAGCTCATCAACTTTACTGACGACAAACTGATACAGACACCCATAATCAGCCAAACTCATTAGAATTTTTCATGCCTTTCGATCGGAAAACTACAATTCCGTCTAGGCTTGTGTGTGCAGCGCTGATGGCAAGCGGCGTTGTTTTAACAAACTGTGTACTTTCCCCACTCAAGCCCCGGCAAATTTAACCACCCTGCCCTGTAAAGTCGCATCCAGACGCGCGCGTAATACTTCAACAAGCCTGACAAATAAGGAATTAAGTAATGTGCCTTGGGAGGCCATTGACGTTACATAAACGTTACACATTTGTGGTAATCTTCGAAGGGTAAGAGTTAATTTACGGACGTTCCAGTCTGAATTGACAGCTTGCTTGTTCCTGGTACCTTCAGCTATCTAGTGCGAATTTTCTGTTTTTTTTGGGTAGAGTCTTTCCTCGTGATATTCCCGGGTCTATGTTGTACGGAGACCACACAAAAGCATAACCGACTGTTCGGGGTCTCCTGTTATTTCAGTTCATAATTAATCCACTCCTAATCAACTGGCCACTGAGAAGCAGAACGGTGGCGCGCGGAACGGTGGACCGCACATTTACATGAGACTTGAACTGCTCTATGCAAATGGGAATTCTGAAAAGCGAGACGCCCATAGAATCGCCATGTTTATGAATGACCTTTTGGAACATGTAATTTGTGCAATCAGGTATATCCCTACAAAATACTTGTACGATTTGCCTTTCAGTCAGGCACTGAGGAATCACCGATTTGTTGGCCAAAGATCGGAANGGAATGCCTTTCGAAATGGTATTGGGTCTACAATTTCTGAGACACTTCTATACCGTGTTCGACATGGATGCTGACCAAGTTGGATTCTTTGA